GTGGAATATTCTACAGATATGTTAAGTCTAGTTGGCTTATAGTATTGTCCAAGTTTTCTATTTCCTTATTGGTCTTCTACTTCATTGTTTTATTCATTATTTAAAGTGGCATACTGAAATCTTCAATTATTACTATTACATCATCACTTCTCACTTCAATTCTGTCAGTTTTTGCTATGTGTATTTTGGGGCTCTATTGTGGATGCAAATAGATTGAGGAAGATATTTGTGGTTTTTCTCTTTGCTTTTTTTTCTTTGTGTGAATTTGAGTTACTCTCTAGTGTCATTTCATGTCAGCCTAAAGGACTCTCTTTTGTATTTCTTAGAGGGTAGAACAGCTAGCAGTGAATTCTTTCCATTTTTGTTTATCTGGGGATGTCTTAATTTCTCCTCCATTTTTCAAGGAGAGTTTTGCTTAATATAGAATTCTAGGTTTCTGGCCTTTTCCTTTCATTACGTTGAATATGTCATCTCACTGCCTTCTAGTCTCCATGGTTACTGGTGAGAAAACAGCTGTTAATTTTATTGAGGATCCCTTGTACTTGATGAATTGATTCTTTCTTGCTGCTTTCATGATTCTCTCCATATTTGGCTTTTGATAATTTGATTATGATGCATCTAGATGTGGCTCTTTTATTCAGTCCATTCTACTTGGAGTTTGTTGAAATTTTTAGATGCATAGATTAATTTTTTAAGCTAAGTTTGGGAAGTTTTTAGTGATTATTTGTTGAAATATTCTTTCTGCAACTTTATCTCTCCTGTCTCCTTCTGGGACTCTCATTATGTGTATCTTAGTGTACTTGATGGTGTCCACAGAACTCTTAGGTTCTGTTCATTTGTTTTCATTGTTTTTTTCTGTATGTTCCTCAGACTATGCAACATCAATTGACCTATCCTCAAGTTTGCTAATTCTTTCTTCTGCCAGCTCAATCCTGCTATTGTACCCCTCTAATAGAGTTTTCATTTCAGTTATAACTTTGAATGACAGAGTTTCTTTTTTAAATAAAATTCTCATATCGTAATCTATATTCTTGTTTTGGTAAGATATTGTTCTCATACTTTCCTTTAAATTTTGAGACATGGTTTCCATTATTTTATTTTATTTTTTTGAGACAGAGTCTCACTTTGTTGCCCAGGCTAGAGTGAGTGCCATGGCGTCAGCCTAGCTCACAACAACCTCAAACTCCTGAGCTCAAGCAATCCTTCTGCCTCAGCCTCCCAAGTAGCTGGGACTACAGGCATGCGCCACCATGCCCGGCTAATTTTTTCTATATATATTAGTTGGCCAATTAATTTCTTTCTATTTATAGTAGAGACAGGGTCTTGCTCTTGCTCAGGCTAGTTTCGAACTCCTGACCTCGAGCAATCCACCCACCTCGGCTTCCCAGAGTGCTAGGATTACAGACGTGAGCCACTGTGCCTGGCCTCCATTAGTTCTTTGAACATATTTATAATGGTTGGATTAAAGTCTCTGTCTAGTACGGCCAACATGTGTGTATTTTCGAGGATGGTCAATTGACTGCCTTTTAACCTGCGTCCTTTCCTGCTTCTTTATGTGTCTTGAAAATTTTTGTCAAAATCTGGACATTTTAAATAATTTAATATGGCAACTCTAAAAATCATATTTCCCTCCTCCCCAGGGTTTGTTGTTGTTACTGTTTATTGTTTTGCTTTTAGTGCCTCTCTTGGACTAATTTTGTAAAGTCTGTATTCTTTGTCATTTGGATAAAGGTTGTGCAGAGTTGTGTACATGAGCATGTCCTTTTAGATTTCTAGAAATATGTTAAATCATTTTTTTTTTAGTTTTGAGATGGGGTCTTGTTATGTTGTCCAGGCTGGAGTGCAGAGGCTAATCACAGGTGCAATCACAACACTCTACAGCTTCAAACTCCTGGGCTCAAGCAATTCTCCTGCCAGTCTCCCAAGTAGCTGGGACTACAGGTGTGCACCACTGCACCAGCTTATGTTAAACCATTTTAGAAAACCCCTATGGATTTCTCATTCCTAATTTTTTCCTTTCAAGTTTTTCAGTCATCCTCTTGTTAGCTCCAATTGTGTCAACACCTCAGGCAGCTGTAATGTTAAACAATTGTTGCTGATTATTGTCAACAAATGCACTGTGAATAGGGCCATTTGCACACAGCAAACTTAATCATGTCAATGAATGACAAACCCTGAGATTGGAGCTTTTCCAGGAAGGTACTAGATTAAGTAAAATAGTGACAAGACTCTGGGGATAGGGTTCTCCTTTTTACTCCTTCAGTGGCTGCTAGACTGCTGGTTTTTACAGCTACTATGACTACAGGGCAGTTGGATTTCAATGCTGCATATATTCTCTGATGAAACCATATAGTTATCCCTCAGTATCCATGGGGAATTGGTTCCGGGACCCATGGATACAAAAGTCCATTGATGTTCAAGTCCCTTATAAATGGGATGTTTAATATATATATAACATGTGCTATATAAAATGACATAGTTTTTTCATATAACTTATGTACATCCTCCTGTATACTTTAAATTATGTCTAGATTACTTATAATACTGAAAACAATGTAAAAGCTATGTAAACAGTTATGCTGTATTGTTTGTGGAATAATAACAAGAGAAAAAAATTCTGTACTAGTACAAATGCAACTTTTTTCCAGATATTTTTGATCCAAGATTGGTTGAATCCACAGATGTAGAACCCATGGATATGAAGGTAGATGTTTAATGGCCTGAAGAGAAATTCTTGTGTAGGATGGTACTAGTCCTAATCACTGCTCAGCTCTTAATTTTTGTATATAAATTATCTAAATCAGCTTAGTTATTGTATATAGATTATTTAAGTCAGTATGTTCATCAGAATCCCCTCTAGGGCTTGTTAAATCACAGATCACTTGACTCCACTTTCAGTGTTTCTGATTCAGTGCATATGGGGTGGGGTCTGGGAATTTGCATTTCTAGCAAGTACTGAGAAGATGCTGATGCCAATGGTTGGGGACCCACATGTTGAGAACTTCTGAAGGACTGGGATCCTTTACCACCAGCATACTTCTAGGATAATTTCTTCTGTCATGCTGTGATGCTTAGGGAATACGTATAGCATCATATTTACCAACAAACTTGGCTCCCTTTTCACTTGATACTTTTCTTTCCACACTGGAATTTGGGCCTCATTCTTTGCCACCCTGAAAACATGATTGATCTTTTAAGATCATCCATAATTATACATCAATCAAGTGACAAATGTTATTGGAAGCCTGATCCTCATTCAGTGTTTGTTACTGTGCTAAATGAATGGATGTTGAAATTAGACCAATGTCTATTTTTAAATTTTGTGAATTTAAATTTGTTTCTTTTTAAAAGCTACTGTTTAAAAACTCTTTTAGCTTGATAATAAATAGCATGGCCATCATATGTACTGTCTGACTAGGAATACTTTTGACAGTGAAAGAGGTTCCTATTAATAATTTTGCTGGAAGCCTGGTATGGTGGTGTGTACTTGTAGTCTCAGGGAATTGGGAGGCTGAGATGAGAGGATTGCTTGAGGCCAGCAGTTCGAGGCTGTAGTGTGCTCTGATTGTGGCTGTGTGAATAGCCACTGTGCTTCAGCCTAGGCAATATAGTGAGACTCCATCTCTAAAAATGAAGAACTAAAAAAAATTCTGCTGGATAAAACATGTAAGCTGGGGCTGTCCCAGGCTTACTCTTGGTCACATTAATTTAAAAAATAAAATATAGAAATATTTTGCCTTTCTACAAATTTGTTTGATATTCTTGGCTTTAACTTTGTACTAGGGTCAAAGTTCTGTCAATATTTCCTTTCATTTATCTGAAGAAATAATAAGAGGAAACTATTTTGTTAATAAGTTACTTTTCAGAAGAGAAATAAAATGAGAAGTCAGAAAAGAAATAAAAATTTAAAAATAGTTTTATATGTGTTTATTTTTATTTCAGACTATTGTCTGCATTTGGCTTTTTGGTGACATGGGGAGTATCAGATGTAATTCTAAATAAATTCAGAGAATTTTTGTTTAATTTTCATTTCTAACAGATTATTCACTTCTTTTTAAAGCAAATTACTGGCATAAATGCTTACCTGTTTTTTAAACCTGAGTGTGTGAACTCTGAAAAGTATTCTGGTTTATTGAATTAAAATTGTTTTCATTTAAGAATTCTTAAGGAGAAAGCTTTTTTTTTTTTTTCTGATAACATGTAAAGGCTCAAAGATAAGGAAAATATTTATGTTCAGTCCAGTACTTACCCTTGCTCAAGTAGACATGTTAAGTTTTAAAGTCAAATTAAAGTGTAAATTTTCTCTCAAAACTTCTAACTGCCTAAATTTTTCCCCTATGGAAAAACAGAATTTTGGGGGAGAGGTGTAAGGAACTGATATTTGCTGGGAGTCTCTTAGTGTGATTTATGTACATATGCCAGAACAGGTATGGAAGGGTATACACTCAGAGGTTAGCAGTCTCTCTTTGTTTTGCAAATTTGTATTTTCCAAGTATTGTAATGTCAATTTTGTGCTTCTTTCTGGTTAGAAATTTTTTGCTTCTTTGTGGTTTTCGCTTCTTTCCTAAGCGTCTTCTAGGGAGTGAGCACACCTGCACTTGGGAGGTGCGCTCACTGGGAGGGCAAATGGCCTGAGAAGGTCACTGGGTTGCGGCTCCTCCACAGAACCCTCCTCCTTGGGGATATGCCAGGGCGTCAGAGGCCTAAGTGTATGTGAAGGTGAAAAATGCTATCGCTCGGTTGAGTACGGAAGTTCAAGAACTCCCTGCAGGTGACGCAGTCAGAGGGGAGGTGTGACCTTGTGGGAACTCAAGAGTAGAGGTCAGCGCTAGCCGCTGAACCACCCGGCTCTGCTGCCGCCCGGGGAGGTGGATCCAGCCTGTGGGCGGGGCGCGGGCAGGGCCGGGGCTCGCGCTGCGCGCATGCGCGGCCAGTGGGCGGGGCCGGGGCGGGGCTGCGCGCGGCGTCCAGAGCGGTAGCGGCTGCGGCGGCGGCGGCGGCGTCAAGGTTCGGGCTGTGGCGCGGGCGGCGGGTTCGCAGCCGGGCGGACGCCGCGGGGCCGGGGCAGAAGAACTAGCACCTGAGGCCGGGCCTGCAGCCCGCGACTTCGCGACCAGGCGGCGGCTCTGCTGCTGTGGGGCTCGGGCGCGCGGGCGGGCGGGTCGGAGGACTGCGAGACAGCTGGGCGGCGGGCGCCGCGGGCCGGGCCAGCCAGGTAGGTGGGCTGGGCTGGGCTGGGCCGGGCCGGGCCAGGCCGGGCGGCGGGCGACGCGGCAGCTGCGGGGACCCGGGGACTGGGGTGGGCCGCGGGTGCTGGGGGCGAGTCCCGGTACCCGCTGGGCAGGACAGGGATGGCGCCCGTCGTTGTCATGGAAATTGCACAGCCTAGCGGTTCACCTGCGGTGGCGTCTTTTAAGAACAATCCAAGCTTGGCAGAGCCCTAGCCCCAGGAAGACCTGGCCGCCCCGCGCTGGGGGCAGGTGCCGAGGGGTGGTGGCGGGGAGCCCGGGATGCGGGACTCGGTGCACCGAGCCCAGGTCGCGGTGCTTGCCCGGTGCGTCTCCAGGGCTAGATCTAGTGAGTCCTGAGGCTGAAGGCCTTGCAGTGTTTTGGGTGTAAACATAACCCAGTAAAAGTGAACATGCATTTCAATGCAGGAAATCTGGACTCCTTCCTCACAACTCTTCCCTTTTCTGCCGGCCCATAGCCCCACACAACATTTCTTGCATCTTTGCTTTTTATATTATATTTCTCTATGGCTTTGCTAGTCAATTTATTGAGGCCTGAGGAATTTTAGGGGATCTATGGCTATGTCTTGAAAACCCAGTCCATGAATGGGAAGGCCGTAGAAGACTGAGACACTCAAAATGTCAAAGGTAAATTTATGTCTTTGTGGGCGAAGGAAGGGAGCAGTTGATGGGCTGGCTTCTCTCCTTCTTGTCGCCTGCCCTCTGACATTACATAATGATGTGTTCTTCCTATTCAGAGTTCATCCATAATGACAGATCATGCAAATAATTCCCCTAGATAAGAAAGAAGTATAGGTGGTTGTAAAGCCCATTTTCTTGTCTTTCGCTTTGCCACTGAATGTGTTTTGTGTTGGGAGGCTGCCTAAGAGTAGAATTTGATTTGTCACCTGCCACTTAGGGCATCTGGACCAAGAGAATGGGGGGTGGGGTGGCAGTTTGGATGTTGCAGTGAAATTCTGCCTGGTTTATCTTTTTCACAGTGGGTCGTGTGGACCATGGGGAAGCTAAGTGGGGTTGGGGACAGAGCAGGTTGACCTTGGTGTGAATCCTGGTTTTGTTGCTTGCCAACTCTGGTTCTCAGTGTTCTCATCTCTAAAAGGCAAGAACAGAACCTCCTTTGCTGAGTTTGTTTTGGAATCTAGATGCTGTTGGCATTGGTCAGTGCATATAGGGTAGCTGTAGGTTGTCCTGGAATTAAGCCTAAACATACATACATACATATATATGTGTATATATATGTATGTATGTATGTGTATATATGTATGTTTAGGCTTAATTCCAGGACAACATACAGCTACCCTATATGCATTGACATTCATACATACATACATACATACGTACATATATATATATGTTGAAAACAGGCTTTCTTTAACAGGAATTTAATTTTGGATCTAGGCTAGGGCTTTTGTTTTAGGGGTTCTTTGCTGAAAGATTTACTCCAGGAAGATTTAAATCACTGTTTTCTTTGAAGAAGGATGAATGATGAGGTCCATGTTAGAAGGTCTGTGTGGTTTTTCTGTTGGAGGATTGCTGTCAGGAAACCATGATGCTGTCCCAGGGGTGGCGTTGCATGGGAACAGAGCCTCCCAAGGCCTTGTTCCCTGTGATGTCTTGTAAAAATACACCTCTAAAGCCAAAGTTACTAGAAGGGGTTGGCTTGAGAACACAGCTTAAAGGAATGGATGCTAGGCTGGGCGCGGTGGCTCAAGCCTGTAATCCTAGCACTTTGGGAGGCTGAGGCGGGTGGATTGCTCCAGGTCAGGAGTTCGAAACCAGCCTGAGCAAGAGCGAGACCCTGTCTCTACTATAAATAGAAAGAAATTAATTGGCTAACTAATATATATATATAGAAAAAAGATTAGCCGGGCATGGTGGCACAGCCACTCGGGAGGCTGAAGCAGTAGGATTGCTTGAGCCCAGGAGTTTGAGGTTGTTGTGAGCTAGGCTGACGCCATGGCACTCACTCTAGCCTGGGCAACAAAGTGAGACTCTGTCTCAAAAAAAAAAAAAAGGAATGGATGCTGGATAAATACAAAGAGAAAGGAGCACTGTATTTCTACCAAGCTCCTTGATAGAATCAGTTGTGCTTACCTAGCCACTTCAGTTATGCAGCTGCTTTTTATTTGGCATATTCTGCCTCAGAGTGTTTATTTGCTTAGGTAAGTCTTGTCTCCCAGCTAGACTCGGAGCCAAGGACAGACATTATAGTTTAATCCCATTGTTTTGGAAATTGGTATTATGTAGTATTGCTGTTAAACTGAATATTAGGTTTTTTAAAAATTACTTTAAGGAAAGGATGAAATGAAATAATACATATGAGAGCTTTTTGTAAACCATAGAATGCACCAGAGAGATGGGATGTGTATGACAGAACTACTAGCCCTGCAAGTCCTGTTAGCCAGTGACTGCCTGGGCACATTCTCAGCCAGCATCTCTGCAAATGCACACACAATGAATGGACTGAAAAGGCACTGTGGAGCAAGTGATCCCTGACCCCCACTCCATGGCTTAACATCTTAAGAATTCAATAAAGCAGAGTAGAAGGAAGGCTTTTGACCATGACTCTTTCATCCTGTTTTTGTATATTAGTGAAAAACTCCTTTTTAAAAGCTTATGTATTCCAGAAAAGTTCTCATAGCATCATCAACTACTCATACTGTCAGGAGGCTTTGACTTTCACTGAGTAAAAAATAGCACAAGTCTTCAATGAAGAAGGCTTGATTATGTTGGTGCTTCTTTTGTAGAACTTGATTAATGAGCTGGTCTTGAGAGATCCTTCAAAACAGCTTTTTTTTTTTAAGTGTCCTGGAACAGGAAGTTTGTGAGGAGAGCATATTTTGGGGAAACCAATATTAACACCTGAGCAGGCTTGCTTCTTTTTGTCTCTCTGTGCTGTTAAGGCAAATGCCATCATGAACCCAATCCCAAGAAATTTACCTGTATTTGTATTAATATGCACACTTTGCTCTCTTTAATTTTTTTTTTGTGTGTATATATTTTGATATGATTTCAGACTCACAGAAAAGTTGCAAGAATAAGCCAAGGGATTCTCAGGTACGTTTTACCCACATTCTCCAAATGTTGACATTTTGCTACCCTGCTTTAACCATCTCTCATATCCATGTGTGTGATTGTTTTTTTCTGAAGTATTTAATAGTAAATTGCAGACTGGATACCCTTTTACTTCTAAATACTTCAATATGTATTTCCTAAAAAACAAGGACATTCTCTTATATAACAATAGTACAGTTATTAAAAAATCAGGAAATTAATCTTGATACATCACTGTTATTTAGTGTACAGGTCTTATTTGGGTCTTGCAAATTGCCTCAATATTGTCCTTTCTTACTGGCAAGATAAAATCCTAGATCATTCATTTTGCATTAAGTTGTTCTGACTCTCCTTCAATCTGAAACAGTTCCTGAATCTTTCTTTGTATTTCATGACATTGACAAATTCGAAGACTACTGATTTTTTTAGATAATGTCCCTCAATTTGAGTTTCCTTACGCTTAGATTCAATTTATGCATGTCTGGCAGGAGCAGCACAGTGTTGATGCTGCAGTCTTAGTATGTCCCCTCAGGAGGTACATGCTTTGAGTATCCCATTCACTGGCCTTGTTAACTTTGATTGCTTCATTAAGGTGGTGTGTAACTCTTTGAAAAATTACCATTTTCCCCTTTGTAGTTTAATATGTATCTCATAGGAAGAGAATCTGAGACTATGTAAATATGCTGTTACTCCTCATACTTTCACCTACTAGTTTTAGAATCCATTGGTGCTTCTTACCTGAATCAGTTATTATGATAGTCAACAGATGGTGATTTTCTAATTCCATGTTTCCTCTTATACTTGTTAGTTGGAATTGTACTGAAAGGAAGAACTTTTGTTTCTTATTCATTTTTGCTTTAGATCTCTGGACTCATGAATTATTTGCTTTATTTAATAGATTACGGTCTGTTACTCTTGTTACTCATTTTATTGCTCAAATTGTCCCAGATTTGGCCAGTGGGAGTCTCTTCAAGCTGGCTCTTATGTCCTTTTGACAAGTGGCCATCGTTCTCTGAGGATTTCTTTTCTTTCTAGCACAAAGCTTTCAAGACTTAGCTTGTACTTTCCTTGCCCCAGCCCTGGAATTAGCCATTTCTCCAAAGAACCCTGGTTCCTTTTAGTGGAGAATGATATTAAAAACCAAGATGCGGGCACTAGGCTCATTGTTACTGAGGTAACACTGCTTCTAGATTCTCAGGGGACAGATGCTCTTGTTGTAAATGTAAGTACAGTCACATTACACAAAATTTTCTGTGATTTGCTTTTAAAATTTAATGCTGTATCCTGAAGATTTATATGTACTGACATGAGAAGTTTGCCCTTTTTCTTTTGGTCTATATTCCAGAGTATGGATTTACCATAACTTATTTTACCATTCCTTATTGATGGACATTTAGGTTGTATTTGATTTTTTGCTCTGAAAATAGTGAACTACATCACTTTAAAACTCACAAATATTTTAGTCTTCTAGATCCCTAGAAGTAGAGTTTCTGGGTCAAAGACTAATTTTAAATTGATAGTTTTGCCACATTGCCCCCAAGAGGCTTTATCAGTCTGTACTTCCTCTATTAAGTGTGTGAAACTGCTTGTTTCCCTTTAACTTGGCTAACATAGAAGAGAATAAATCTTGTTAATTTTGCCAATCTGATGGACAAAGAAGACAATGCTGTTTTAATTACATTTACAGAATTGCCAAAAAATTGAAAACCTTTTGCTAATTTATATTCTAGCTTCTGTGAGTTCCCTATTCAGATCTTTTGTCCATTTTTTCTTATTAGGCTGTTTTTCTTTATCTTATTGGATTGTGGGTGTTGCTATAACTTTGGAGTTTGTTCTTGGCAGCCTTAGAATGTTCCTTTTTGACACCTTTTTTAATCCTGAAGAAGAAGGAGCCTACCCTTTCTGAGCACTC